CACTCTTTCTCCAATGTACTTCGAGGCTTAGGGAGGGGAAAAAGCAGCTCAGATGAGACAGAGAGGGCAAAAGAGAGAGAGAGAGAAGGAGGGAGAGCTTCAGTAATGGCTGTGTGCATAACGATAAGGTAAGAGGACGAGCAGGGAAAGTGGTCCAGTAATGAGGGGGAAGCGTAACGGAGCAGTTGGCAGAACAGATGGGCTGGTAGATTGGGGAGAGTAAGGGTAATGGTTGTGGGCATCAGGGTGGGAACAAATGTGATCCCGTTTTTCAGGCCTGTTTTGTTTTATAGGACTGTAACTGAGAAGCCTCGTTTTATTCCTGAGCAATACATATATGGCTGTGGTATTGTGACAGCTCCTTGTCTATCTGTCTGCCTCACTACTTGTTATTGTCTAACGTTTAGGTGTGTGTGACCGAGCTGAGCTTACACGCCCTGTCAAACATGACATCTCGTTTACACTGTTACTGGCCTGCTCCTCGGTAACCCTTCAGCCCTAATGGAAATGAATGGGAGTCAACAAGCAGAGGCAGACTCCTCTCTGTGTTCACATTACTGAGGTCCGGTCAGAAGGGCCTCGCTATTTGCACTGCCGCAATTGTGCACACAGTAAGTCACCACTGTTCATTTCGACTGGCCGCGGTATTTGTACTGTTATCTCAACAGGTGAAAGCCATTATTGTCCACACGCTTGACTGTGAAAGAAAATTAAAACCACCTTTTCCTTCTTCCTCATACTTAACTTTGGGCAATTCCTTGATAAGATTATGATTTTGTGAAATTGGACGGGAGCAAAAATAGTGCAGTGCGGATGGCGGTGCTGATTCTCAGCAACACAGAGATAAGCGTGCTGTGGAAGGCACGTAGCTCACCTGCGTATCTCTTTGTGTGAGAGGAATAGAGTACATGTGGGAGTAAAGTTATCATATTCGTTTTTTTTTCTGACAACGATAACATCGTCAAGAAATTTGTAGATTATCCAAATTCTATGGGCCCATATTTGAAGTGATGAAATAGCCCTTGGCGCCTAATGGAGATACGAAATATCTCTTTTCACAGAACTAATGTAACCTGTCTTTGTTTACTACAAAGTAAAAGCTGCTTAGGACTGAAAATTGACTTAACTGTTTGTAAAGAGGAAAAGAAATTTCCTTGCATATGAGTTTTCGTTAAGTATTTACCATACATCTCTGAGGCATTACCGACTTAGTCTCTGGAACTCCGCTGGCCTCTTATCCAGCTGTAGTCCAATTCTTAATAGAATTAAAAAGGATTAATGGGCTCTTTAGTGTGCTTGAGTTCAGGCCTGCTCCCCCCAGCCTCGCTGCTATGCGCATTTTTAAATCTCCTATAGTAATGACAGTGAGTGAATGCACAAGCTGTAGCCATTAGGCACATCGTGTCCTGATGTGAGTTTATGAAAAACATTACTTTGCCTGTTCCCACTTAGATAAATTGTCTTGCTTCTCCTCTCTTCTCCCTCTCTCTCTGTGCTCCTCAGGGATTAAGATGTGCCCAGCCACGTTGACTCACTGAGTGAGCTAAGAAATCAACACTTAAACTGATCCACAAAGTACTAATGAGGACCTACAGGTGGAAAGCTGGGTGCAATCACTAGTGTGCATTCCCTTTGATGCACGAAAGCAAAATGCATACTTTATTTATCAGTCAGGCACATATGTACACATAGATAGGGCATGGAATATCTGACGAGATCAGTGTAATCGTGGCGGCTGATGAAGATAGCACCCCTTGTCACATCCTGGCACTGTTATGCACCTAACTATACAGCACTGGAGGTCAGATTCGCTATTCTTTGAAGCTTATATGAACTGGTAACCACACATGGAGACTTTTATAAAGGGCGCTATTAAAAGAGAGTCAAAAAACAAGCTCCTGCCTAGTGAGACCCTCGTTTCCTGTTAGCTTTGTTACATAGTAAATGAACACGGGATTCCTCATACGTGTATTTGTTCAAAAGCAGCAATGTGGTCTCTGCATTATTATACGCATAGCTTATCATAACTTGCCCTTAAGCCACTATTTACCATTTTAAAGGTCATATTATTGTCTTTGCAAAAGCAGGGAAGAGTTCAACACATTGGAAAGGCCACCCGTCGTAATGTGTGTTGAGTTCATTTTAGTGTTAAGCTTAGGATGCCCTTGGTTACCTGGAGCTTCTCTTTTCTGAGGTGGAGGAGTTTTCAGCCAGGGATCTACTTGTTTCTCATTATCTGTGTCATCTATAAAACAAACCTAAAGTACATGCCCATTCTAGATGGATAAATCTGACATGTAAAAATCTAGCTCACAGTCATAACAAGCCGGGTGGACTTTGACAAAACCTTCTCCAATAAAACAAACTTATCTAACAGGGTCGAGACAAGACCTGCTGTCAATAGAGATAGCCAACCGTTTTGTTTTGCAGCCTGAAGAATGAGGGATGCTAAGTGAGTGTGTGTGCGTGTGGATGAGTGGTTGGTTCCTGAAGTCAGACTGGAATGTAAAAACAACATTTCGCGTCTAAAAACAATAGTCGAGACTTGTGAGGTGTCAGTGACGACGGCCGCAGCAGAGAGGTGGGAAGGTGGGAGGAGGATCCTGGGTTTCAAGGTCAACACGCTCAGCCTCCTGCAGCACGCACATTCGCGAGTGGCGGTAATATGATGGTGACATAACACTCAGTCTTTGCTGGTACGTGCAGTGGAATCATGCAACAGCTCATTTATCAGTTAAGTAACACTGGATGCATGTTATACCTCACCACTACAGGTCTAGGGAGCTGGTCTCACATGAGATATCGCTCGGTGTGAAGAAAACACGCTGGGGGAATATACATCACGTCAGTGCCTTCATTTATACAATAATATCTCTGTATGAGTTCGGTCTGTTTACACATTCACACACTGGCTTGTTTTTAAAAGCTGATTTAGACCATGACTCACTCCTTGCCTTACACATGCTATCATAATCCGTCATAGACTCCATACACCTTCTATTATACTTTATATGGCTTCTGTGAAGAACATTGTTAAACTGTCTCATACGAGAGGATTACTATGTGTCAGTGCAGGATTAAACAGTAAAGAGAAAGAATTACACTATTTGTGAAGCAGTGTAGTGTGGACAGTATGAGTGAAAATTAAAAACCTGAGGTGCTGAGGTCACGCAGCTCTGCAGTACCTCGGGGAGCAAATGAAAGGCACTCGCTGGTGCTCAGGAAACTGCTAAGTACAGTGTAGGCCTCTCTGTCTTCGCGCCCCAGTGTGTATGTGTGTATCCTTTCATCTATTTTATGTGCATGTAAGTATGATGATAGCTTAGTGCCACTAGTTTAATGAGCAAGCACACAGGCAATATTCTTCTAATTCCTAGTTATGACTGAGGTGAGCTTGTGAGTAATTTGTGTGTGTAATACTGATCCACTAGCATCACTTGCCAAGGAAAGCTTGTGTATAATTGGCAGATTGAGGACACTCATTAGAGTACAGTAAGAAGCTGATATTATATTCAGCAACAGCAGTGACTCATTATCATATCTGTCGCATGGTCTTATCTTCTTTTGTAATTTGCGTCTCAAGCATCTCTTGAAATGAAAGCTTTTTCCTCTCCTCCCCCCCCCACCCCCACAACACTACCGGACAACAGATGGACTGCACGCACTTTTACGATGGATTGTTTACAGTTATTTCATATAATTGTCGAACAGTGTCAGTCTGACAGTTACAACACTGCTCTTTGCCTCTGTCCTATAATTATGTTTCTCCTTCCCCTTGGTTTGGTGGCAGATGATGACAGCGGTGGAAAAGCCAGGAGAAAAAACCTCCTGCTGGAAAATGAGGACTGATGGCAGTGACAGGCAGATGATCCCAGGCCAGGAATTACAGAGGCATCTACCTGTCTAGACATTGAACAGCTGGCTAGAAGTGGCACGTTGAAAAATGTTAAAAATGTAATGTGGTTACACTTAACATGTTGAAAGTGTGAATCACCTGCTTTCATGGACTTCGCTGAACTGAGTGCTATTCAAACACCATAAAACTTAAGAGTGAAAACTGGCTTTTTTCCCCCCCACCATAAATATTTGACATGTAGAGGAAAAAATTAAAAGGTGAACTAATAACACAAATGGCAGCACCACTCGATCTGAATATCCCGGTAAGGTACCAGAGCCCTGGAAGTAAGGCATCTAAATGACACGTATCCATTGTTAATGTTAATGTGGGCTTTTTAAGCTGCTACGTGTCAAAGTAGCTGCTGTGAAAATGGCCAAGTGGCACACTGGTTTTAATGGGAAACTTTAAATGTTTTAAAATGTGCCTTCTGTGTAGTGCTCAGCTCTACTACTCTCCATTCTCTCTCCAGTTTTTCAGGTGAGTGCCTCGCTGATCCGCAGCACAGCCAAACACAAGGCTTTGCTTATTTAACAATAAGGATCAGCCAAGTGTGAACAGCTACACAAGAGCTGGCCTAACCAAACATGACACTGATAGACATACGGACTTAACTGACATTTTAAAGCAAACCAGCAGCCCCCTGTTTACAAATCCCCGACCCCAGATACTCCATTCACGGTGTGTCCAAGAAAGGCTGGATACTGTTGTGAATCACAGGAAAAAGTACAGAGAGCAGCTTCTAAACAAAATTAACCGAATGGGTAATTTGATGTGAATTTCTTGCATACTTTCTCAGGAGTCCACTTAATGTGCAGTGCATGCCAGTGCTTGTAAATGTGCTTGTGCGTGTGTGTCTCAGAACAAATGGTAGTGTTTGTGAAATGTGTTGTACTATGTGCATGTACGGATGCTGTGTGTGAAGTTGTGTGTGTGTGTGAGAGAGAGAGAGGCTACAGAAACAACAGAGGGCAGGATATAAAAATCCTGATTGTTTCTGAGGGATTATCCTTCACAATGCACAGCTTTATCAGAAAGCCTCGATTGCTGTAACAAGACACGCTTGCCCTGGGTTTGCCCAGCCAAATACTAAGAATCCTGAGTTACCCCGGCAGCGAATCACAAGGGGGGGAAATGAAGAGCGCAGAAAAAAGAAACACAGGGGAGAAGGAGAGCAAAGAGTCGACACTAGATCGAGTGAGTGGAGTGAGAGGGAAAGCGGAGAAGAACACACAGAGTAAGGAGGAGAGAGAAGTACACAGAGAAAAGCAGGAGTTGAACAACTTCAACTGGAGGCCATGTCTCAAACAGGGGTTTGTTTTCTGACAGCGATCCCTCTCAGGAGATTTGGCTGGAAAACATATTGCAGTTATAGAGCCTGTCCAAGTTGCGCAACATGTGCTTCAGCACCATGTGAACAAAAGCTGCTGTGCATCATAGCATGTTGTGCTGCGACTGTTTTGCGTGGCATAGCCTAACGCAGGCCCACTAAGCTTTTGTATTAGAATACTGATAGGCCCTCAGGCTGTGATTTAAATGTAAGCAAACATCTGCCAAATATATGAGGTCTGGCAGTGTGGAGGAGAGGTGCTTTTTATTGGATCATTTTATTTGCTTCCTTTTATAAGACTTTCTCAGTAGGATCAGGTTGCTGTGCCCGATCTTACCAAACTCTGCAAAGGGGAGCTGTGGTTTTGGCTGACTGTGGAAGGGGCTTTATATGCGCACATTGTAGAAAGTGGGTTTGGGTGTGCAGAACGTTGTGTGAGGCCGTGTGATTAAGCGTAGTCATATATTCCAGTGACAGCTTCATTCCTTTCACACGTGAAGGATATTTGTTTAGGTTTGCAAATTTACTTTAGATAATTGTTCATTTGTTGGTTTTTGAAGTGCCATTATGTAACCTCGTTGCATGCTTGTGTATTACAGAGCACAGTGATACATAACTACACTGTAAATAACCAGATGGATGTCATATTTGTGCACATATTTCTCTGTAAGGGAGTATGTGTTGATGTTGAGGTGTTTGGTGTGCTGGCAATGTGCTGGCAGTGTGCAGATTTCCTTCTGTGATATCAAACCTCTCCCAGTGGGGGTTTCAGGCTTCACACTGAGCCAAATGGACAGACTAAAGTTTTGCAGCAATCCCAGCTCAACATGCTAGTTCTCCAAACTTTGCTCTCCTTTGGTCTTGCACTGAGAATAAGAGAAGATACTTTTTGCCATTTTATGTGAATACACCCTTGTTGACTCTGTGTTTTCCCTTTTAAACCCAGGAAAATGGAAAATGCCATGTAGATGTCAGTGATCTTAAACTATGATTGGTTAATATAAGTAGTAAGATTGCGAACATGATACTGTTGTCTTAAAAGCAGTTACTCTTAGTCTATATAGTATATACTGTTTCGGTTTACCGTGGGGGTATTTTAAAACCGTTGTGGAGCTATGCAAACACAAGTGGGGTACTGAGCAGCCGGCGCTATTGTTTCAGACCTACTCAGGATTCTTGGGATGTCGCTTTGCCTCAGCTTTGACTCCACAATTCACACACCCCATAGTGTGCTCAGATTTTGTTTTAACCCGAGGTCTAGAATAATAAACTGCATTTTAATTAGGCTGATTTGCACCTTTTCTTTTGCTCTTGAAAACAGTCTGCTAAAAAGAATCAAAACAGAATTACCCTCAACAGAAGAGATGGTATTTAGTTTATGCAGCAAGATGAAAGCTGTTTATCTCTCATCACGGCTTTTATGAACGGAGCAAGAAGGGAAACGTTCAGACGGGCAGTCAGATGACTCAAGCAGCAGTACTGTAATAACTGATTCACAGTAAAAATCCCATTTTAACTGTCTGGAATCTATTCAGTGAGACGTCAGACCTAGATGCATGATGTTTGTAAGAGCAAACCCGTGTCGTATGGCCATGTTTGTAGCGTTGTGTGCGTTTGCAGGCTGTCCTGCGTCATCTCTGCTCTGCTGTGTTTATGCAGAGGCTCCATGGATATAGAGAGGGACAACAGAATATCCAACCCCTCCCACTGTTACTTGATATTTATGGGAAATGGATCAGATGATTGGACAAGTTCGCATCTACACATTTCCCCCTAAAGGGAGCTGAGCCAAGTTCATTTACTCTTTCATTCATGCCCGCTATGATGCTGTCATCTTTATTCATTAAGGATGTAGTCAAGAGGTGATGAAGAGTGATGCAGAGTTAAGCTAGTTAGTTACGCCAAACTGGCTAATAAGCAAATTTCTTCATCTTCACTGTCACTTTAGATTTTTCCACACTGAAGCCAATGTCATAATTATGTTTAAGGTGAAAACTCCACAGTGCTTTTGAAATTTGCTAGAATATGCTGGCGAATTATTACCGTGTAATAAACGGAGCAGGGTGAAAGAGAGGTTAGGAGATGGTAGAAGATGACAGATCTGGAGGGAGAGAAAGAGAGAGGGGCCCGTTGCGAGTGACACAGAATATAGTCTGTGTTTTCTCGGTGGACCAGAGAAGATGCAGTGCAAATGAAGCATGCTGCACCATGGCGGCCTCTGCTTTATCTTTGCACCGTGTCTCTGTGTGTTTGCATGAAAGTGAAATGACAGGGGCCTTTTTGAGGCCTCTGTTGTCTCATGGTTCCAATATGTTGGGAGGACTCCATCCACTAACAATTTCCAAAGATTACACTATGATAACTTTAGCCACAAATTTTTCAAATGTATCCGTTTGTATGGTAAAAGCATCCTGCTAAAATACAGAACTCATACTGGCTTACAACATGTAGGCAATTATGTTTGATGTCTTATGTTTTTCACCTTTGTTTATAATGAAAGTAACCCTCTGTGGTGATTTCGTGTCACTTCACGACAGGCTGTTCAGTGTGTCTGACCCACATGGCTAGGGCCTCCCCTTGTGTTTAGTGTGCAAAACTACAAACGAGAAGGGCACTCAGAGAGTGCATCTTCCACTGAGAGTATATATTTCACAGTTTTATTGTACTTTTTATATTTTACATTTATATTTATTTTGCATTTTGCACCAAGGGAGTGGCACTCCAATTTCGTTGTACTTTGTACAATGACAATAAAGGCTATTCTATTCTATTTCAAAGAAAGTGATCTGCAACATAAATTATTAGGTTCTTTTTTTAACCACACAACCTTTTCACCAAGTAATGCAATTTGCCTTGCTGGTCTGATTTTGTTTTGATTTTTTTTGTTTTGTTTTTTAGCCCAGGATTTCAGGTCACCTCTGGGCTGGAATAAGTTCCAATATGGTCCCAAAGAGACCAAATTTCAAGCTGGGATATTATGTCCATCTATTTACTGAATACTACCACTTTCACCAGTGAATAATGACTCAGGTACTACAGATACTTTAGGTTAGTAAGAGCTAAAAAGTTTCAAAAATAACCATACGTACATAAAAAAAAATGCTTTAACACCTTTAGCTGAACTATAAGTTATTTGACTTTACACTCAGACACAGAAGAAGACCCTTAGACCCCTCAATCACTGCATATATTTAGAAACACAAATCCCCCTCTGTTTTTTTTTTGTTGTTGTTGTTGTTGTTTGGTTTTTTTTGGAAATCTCAATACCATGACCATGAGCACTTTCTTATTTTGGAGTCACTGTTGCTTTCATGTTCCACATCTTGTCTAGTTCTCTCTCAGCCCTTGGTATTTCTCTAGCTTCTTGTGTTCCTTCTTCCTGATGTTGCTATCTCTGGTCTGGCTACATATATCATTACGGCCTGTAGAGGTTGTTCCTATGCTGCCATGATTGGCGTGTCTGTGCTGTCTTTCAGTTCAGCTTTCTCCTGCCATTCGTAGGATTTCTCGAATGGTGATGCAATGCAGGGGCCGGTCCACCCATGATGGTTCCACTTCCTGTTCCTTATTTTTCAGGTTTCTGCTGTTTGAGGTATTCACTAAACGCATGATCAGTTGTGGCCATCTTCCAGAAACACTCACAGATCTTTGTTGTTTCATCCTGGATAATGGTTCTGACACTCACTATTGACGTCAGTGGCCAGCAGTGAGGACAGAGAATAGTCTTGGTAAATCTCGCACTTGATGGCAACTTGTACTGTGGTTTAAAGTTGGTCTACAGTGTTGTTCGAAGTGTAAAAGTGGACGACGGGTCGATTAGAACTTCCTGTTTATACACAAAGCGATCGAGAAGATTTTTTGAAGGTACGTGTCTAATATACAAAAAGCCCCGTCTGGCCTTTATACATTTTTGTGTGTATTTTAAGGCACCGCCAGCGATTAACTGTAAAAATAGTTGTCCTGGGTTAAATTTTCGATTTTGAGCTTTCAAATTTCCTTGTACGAACTTCCTGCTTTAGGTTCGGTTGTCATCGAAAAATGCTTACTAGAAGCTGCCTGATTTTCCCAATTATATTCTTCACCGGGAAATCATTAGGTAAGTGATGCAGCATTGTAAATACGTATTTCTTTATAATCAATATCTTATTTTCACTCTTTTTTCTTCTCGCAACATCTGCGTCATCGTTTCCTGGTTCTTTACTTAATGTTTCCGTTTGCTTTTCATTTTCTTCTTGCTTAACAATTAACTTTACGGTTCCCTAATTACTGTCTCGCAGCATGTCATCAGATAAACGCTTCTTGTGCCGACATTAAAACCCTCGATGGATTCACGTTCAAACATGGATCACTTCCCGAGGGAAGTAAGATTTATGTCTACGACAACGGGGTAGGTTGGCCTCTTTCAGACTTTAAGTGAAAGCACTTTAGGCTTCTCCCTTTTACAAATATGCACCACAACAGGTAGATCTATTTGATTTGCCGAACCTCCAAGCTTGCGAAGTGAATGTGTAAACCACTACTTTACGTACAAAGGCAGCGGAACTTTCATCAGAGGGGGCAAAAGTACAGATATTATTTGGTTTTGTAGAAATACACAGATCTGTGTTAAATACGTAATATAAGTGTAAAATGTACTCATAGTAAGAAAATAAAACGCAGGTCTTTGAATAATAAATAAATACATAAATAAATAAATATTAGTACATGTGAATGCAAACTTTTTTTCTTTTTATTTTGCCTCCATACATAAACAGAACAGTGACTATAGGCGGGGATTCCAGTGGGATTCGGGAGATGGGGGAACCCTCAAATCGCTTGTAGTGGCGCAGTGAGGAGAAAAGAATCACAACATTTCTAATTTAAGGTCCAGTAGATTTATAAATGATGCATAAATTGCATATATTTATTCCCCAAATCCCTGTGTGATAGCTACACCAATATAATTGTCTTTTTCCCATCAGACTGGTTTAATGATTGTGGGTGTGCAGTGCTGGGGAACAAAAATTTCCCTCAAATGTGTTACACGTAAAGTGACAAGCCTGTTTTGAAAATGTTTGGAGTGGACAGTACAGGTGTTTGTGTTAAAATGTAACGAGTAAAAGTAAAAAGGGGTCAGAAATATTAATACACAAAGTATACTTGAAAATTGTAACAGTATAATATAAGTAATAAGTATTTTGTACTTTGTTACAAAGTATTTGTACTTTGTTACTTTTCACCTTTGACGTTTATTTCTTTTTCTTTTCCCAACAGACAAATATTGGCCATGTTAAACTGCAGAATCCACCCTCCATTGGGTTGTCACCTGAAGTTGTGCACATGGACAACAACTCAGTGACGACAGTGAAGTGCAGAGACATCACAATTCAAAGCATAGTTCCTGATGGATTGAGGAAGGTACTTGTATGAATTAAATCAGAGAAAGTCCTGTTTAGGGGTAAATCTAAAATGTTAACTCGTTCCTCTGTTTCTTTTTAGGGAAAGCCTTTTGTCAAAGAACACTGCACCTATTTCAAAATTATTGGTAAGGCAACCTATTTTTATACTAGAATACATTAATAATTTTTTTCAAATTTTTAAAAAAAAATATGCCTCATGTTTACATAATATACTGCACAAAATCAATCATCTCCTTTTCTTAAGCTGATGTCACAGCTCCAATTAAGACCGATCCCAACGAGTCACAGGCGTTGCCGACCCTCATCTGTGAGTGGATCCCGTGTGCTTGTTTTATTGCTTTATTGCATAGCTGTTGTTAGTACTATAAATGGATGTGAATGAATTATAACTCAAGTGTTTTGTGTCAATACAGTTTACATTTTGCCAGCCATTCTAGGGATAATCATAATCATAATCATAATTGGGATTGGTCTTCTTCTCCGCAACTGGAAAGCACATCTGGAGTGAGTTCTATGGCCTGAAAAATCAAATTATTATTGCCATGTTACAGATTAACTTATATAATGTTTTGCAAAGATTAATAACTTTTTTTTATGCTTCTTCTTTTTGTTCAGGCAGCAGCACAGTGAAGCCAGTGTTTCTGGGTTTATAATGTACCTACTGACTTGTCTCCAAAAGACAGGAGAGGGACAAGAAACTAGGTCTGTCTTACTTTTAACATACTGCATGTTTCAGTTTACCTGCTTACCAGAAAGTATGTGAATGTATTTGTGTTACAGGTAGTTAATCCCCTTCAGTGCCTCCAACTTAACATATAAAAATGAATGAATATTAAAAGTTAAAAAGTGCCACATCATTGACAATAATCATTGTACTTTATTTAACACTTAATGTTAAATAAACTCATTTAAACTGGATGCCCGTTGATGTCACCAGTGTTAATTTAGAAAATGCTTCTTTTAAGACCCGATGAAGGAAGTGAAGTTTTACCACAGCGTGGTGACAATGAATTTCTATCAGGCTCTAATTATTGCTTCTGTTTTGTATTTGTATTGTTCTTTGATACTTTGTTGTTTATTCTTTGCCATTCTTCTCTTCTGCAGACCTTCCCCTGGACAGCGTATAGATAATGAGCAAGGCATTGCACTTGAATGTGTAGTTGTTCAAAGGTTAGCCTGTCACTTTAGCATTAAAACTTTATCCACTACAACTTTCTTTTTAATCCTCTTTCAGTCCAGACACTATCTGTGTCTGTGCTTTCTTATAACAATGTGAAGTCTAGACTCTAATGTGCTAAAAGCTACCTTTGTCTGCATAGCACTGAGGCTGATGTCAATACTCTTCAATCCCCCAGCGTGGACCGCAACTTGAGCACAGAGAGAATTCAGCTAACTAAAAAGTGAGAATTGGGTTTTGTTTTTTTTTTTTGTGCCTAGAGCCTATTTTGTTCTTGAGGTTTATGTCAAGTAAATGCTGTTTTTTCTTGTGGCATCCTTATCTATTATTTGTTTTGCAGTGGAGACATCAGTATCCACAATGTTAGCAGAATCTCTCATCACCGCTCTATGAACAGGTACACTTTTGTCTCTGGTTGGGTGCAAGTTTCTATCATATTTTTATGTTTCCCTTCAGTGTGTACTATTACATAACCCCTATCTCCTTCAGGAACTTCAAGAAAGAACCAGGAGGGGTGAATCGCAACAAAGGACAAAACATTAGGTAAGTCTGTGATGATTTAAATCAAAGCAGAACACATTTGTGTCTCTTGTTTTAGATCTTAAGAGATTGTAATAGCTTTGGTTCAGGCTGTTTGCATGTTATGATGATCAAAGGTGTTAGTAACATACAAAAATAATAACCAGCATACATTTAAACTGCATGCCATCATGCGTTTATAAAACGATGTAACCAACGGCAATAAAGATAAAAAAACAGACAGTTTTGCAACATTTATACATACACATGCACCACTTTATAGAGAATTGAGTAGCTTACCCTGAGGGTTTATCACGCCCATATGATAATGGCTGTGAATGCTTCTTCATCTTCAGCGAACTGGACACTGGAGGTGCTGCTGGTAATCATGCAGAACATGATGAGACTGAAGGACAACCACTGCTAACCAGTAAACGGTGAGACTTGCTTGCTTGCGCTGCCACCGAGCTCTCACATAGTAACTATGACTGAGAAGAAATCTGTGTGATTTTCCAATTTCCAGTCTCCTTCATACCTTGTTTAATTTGGCCTATTGCTGCTATATGTTCCACTGTCGGGACTAACTTTACTAACAGGTCTCTGCCTACACATCCCAAATGTCAAAAGGCCATGCTGAACATCAGAGCTTGTCTGACACCCGCTCAGAAAGTGAGCTGTGCTGTAACTGGGAAGAGGTTCACGTCTTTATTCCTTCTCTTTCTGTCTCCAACACTTCCAGTTTTGACATGACAGGTGAAGCCGGACCATTGGCGAACAAGGCTGGCTTTGACCGAGACGGAGTCAGCAGGTGCTCAGCTGTACCGGTGAGGAGGAAGATTCCTTTGTACTTTTTTTTATTATATCCTCTTTTTGTTTTGTTGATCTTAAGAGATGTTTTTTTTTCTTTTCTTTTTTTGTTGCAGAACACTGACGTGGAGTCACAAGAAATACAAGAAGTAGGAACAGGAAGTAACCAATAGCAACAACAACAATGATATTAATAATAATGATGATAATAATAATAATAATAGTAATAATAATAATAATAGTAATAATAATAATAATAATAATAATAATAATAATAATAATGCATATATTATTTTAATAATAATTATTATAAGACGTTGTCACACTATATGTATGTTTGCTTGCATTACCTTTGGGATCAAGTCCAGCATTTTGTTTAAATGATTACTTTCAACCTACAATATTTTTTGCAAAGTACAAACTTGCAATATATTTTTAGCCGAATATTAGTTACAAATAGCTAATATAAATTTAATATAAATTAAAAAATAAATAAATATAT